ACCTGCTTCGGATTCTGGGTCTCCCTCTCTCTCTGCCCCTCCCCTGCTCACACTCTATCTCTCTCTCTCAAAAATAAATAAACATAAGAAAAATCAAATAAATTTAAAAAAAGCTAATTGGCAAAGAACTTGAATGGACATTTCTCCAAAGATTATATACAAACAGTCAGTAAACATATGATAAGCTGTCCCCCACCACATGTCGTCAGAGAAATACAAATCAAAACCATAATGAGATACCACCCCACATCCATTAAAATGGTAACTATTAAACAAACAAAAACAAAAACAAGCGGAAAACCACCAATGTTGGTGAGGATGTGGAGAAACTGGTGGGATTGTGAAATGGTGTGGCCACGGCAGAAAAGTAGGGAGGCTCCTCAAGGTAACTGAAACCAGAGTTACCACATGATCCAGAAATCCCAGTTCTAGCTAATTATCCACAAGGATCCAAAGCAGCGTCTTGAAGAGATGTTCACCCACCCCTCCTGCTCGTGGCAGCACCGTCCACGGCAGCCAAGAAGTGGAAGAGCCCAGAGTTCTTCATGGACGAGGGACAAAGAAGCTGTGGTCCATCCACACCACAGAACAGGGCTCAGCCTTACCCGGGAAGCAAATCCTGACCCTGCTCCGACACGGACGAACCCCGAAGACACTGGGCCACGTGAAATCAAGCAGTCGCAAACAAAAGACAAACGCCACGTGATTGTGTTTATCTGACGGACCTAGAGTCGTCCCAGTGATAGAGACAGGAAGGAGAATGGCACGTAGGGAAGGGGAGGAGGTGTCTGATTTGCAAGACGACAAGGTTCCGGAGACCTGGGCCACAACAGGGCGAGCACATCTACCACCGAAACACGGTTAAGCGGGTACATTTTATGTGTTCTAAACGGGCAAGGACAGACCAAGAGAAAACATCCAGGAAACATCTCTCTGACGAAGGACCGTAGAAAACAACATGTGGGGAGCAAAGAGCCCTGCGACTCCCTTACAAAACCACAAACACCCCCCAGATAGTGCCCAAGGCCGCACAGATACTCACAAAGACCCGCTACAGCGTAGCAGTGAGGAGTGATGTAAAGAGAATTAACTACCAAGGGGGCGAGTGGCATTGTCACGAACGCAGGCGGAGGGCACCCCGGCAAGGAACCGACGTGGAGGCCCCCTCCGCCGCCCCAGGATGAGGGTCAGGCCTCTCTGGAGACGGTGTGGGGGGGCACCGAACGGCCCGAGCTGCGCAGGCTGGGATGACCGAGGGGCTGGCCGGGAAGCCGCCTGTGGGGGGAAAAGCACCAGGGGCAGGAGAGCCGCCCCTCCTCCTTGTGCCCTCAGTGCCTCCCCGCCCCCCCCACCCCCCCGCAAGGCCTAACGCCACAGGCTGAGGAAGCCAGCAGGCGGCTCCGCTGTGACCAAGGACAGCAGAGCAGGCGGATTGGGAGCTGACAGAAGGCCGCCACCAACAGGAGTGTGGGCTCCAGCCACTTGGGCAACTCGGGTAGTTTCTTATAAACTGAGGCCACCACGCCCGCCGTCCGTGACCCAGTAATACCACCACTGCTAGGTATTTATCGGAGGGAAAAGAAAGCACCTGGTAAGGACTACTCGGGGCGGCCTCGTTCACAATGGGCCCAGCCTGGCGACAGCCCACGTGCTCCCCCACAGGGGTTATTAGGAGATCGGTGAACTCACACCGGGGAAAGTGGAAGAACAAAGGAGGGCCGGCTGCGGTGACGGGAAGGAACCTCAGAAGCGGGGCGCCCAGCAGAAGCAGCCGGGCACAGGCCGCCACCTCCCACGGCAGCCAGGCTCGACCACGGCGGGAAGGCCCACGGCGTGGCCGCGAGTGGCAGAGCCCACGGACGGTGCCTCAGAGCCGCCCCCTCCCGTGTGATGTACCCCTCAAACAACCGTAACGGGGAGAACAGAACCTCTGCTTTAGGGCGATTCGAAAGCAGAGGAGGGGCCGCGGAAAGGCCCGGGGGCACCGCCGTCTTGCCCGACACGGCCTCAAATCAAGTGATTTCGTGTCAACCTGAACTCACTATACCCCAGCAGCGAATAGCTTCTACGCAGGCTTCCAAAAATGCTGGAAGAAGTTGTTTTGTTCTAATTCGTCGTCAATATTTCCAGCTCTAGTTTCTATCATTGATGGGGCATACGTACGACTAGTAGTTTTTCGCAAGCTGAGATTTCGAGGCGCTTCAAGGCCTGCCTGTGAAAACCAGGAGCTGCAGCCAGAGGGCAGTGCTGAGCCCGACGGCTCTCCGTCCCTCCCAGAGGGACACCAGCTGGCTCCACCTGCCTGGGTTTACGGAAACCCCCGAGCTGTGCGTCCCCAGCACTGCCACCGAATACAACTTCCGTAAGGAAATCTGATGTACGAGATCACACACCCCTTTCTAATTACAGGCCTTCGAAAGCACAGCCTAATTCAGCATCCCACTAGCGCTGGCCTGCTGTCTTTCAACATTAGGCCTTCTATGAGGTTACAGTGACATTTTTCTTTTTTGCTTAAAAAAAAAAAAAAATCTTTTCAAGTTAATGTCCGAAGGTAATTATTCCAACACAAAAGCAAACCGGTACGAAAGCAGGATGCTATTTTTGTACCATGTCCCCACGTGCTCCAGAATTCTCTCTCCTGTGGCCCCCCAGTTTCCTAAGGAGCCTTAACTTGCTGTGAGGGGCTGGGTCAGCCGTGTCTTTCATTTTCCTTAAAGCAGAGGGGAAGCTCCGTGGTGGAGAGAGAAGATGCTTAATAATACCTACTTGAGTTCTGAGGATAAAAGGAATTCTGGACTTTTCAGCGTGGTGAGCGGGTGGTCAAGACGTACTCTGATCCGGGCAGGTCTGAATGAACGGGCTGGAAGCGGAAATTCGTGATCGCGTGGCTCTAGGAGCCATCTAGGATACATCCATCTGCCGCGGTCTCATCTCATGATTTTTCATACTCCTTTGGCAACTTGGCGCTTTGTTGTGTATCCTTTTACCTTCGAAAGGCTTTTTTTTCGTACATACTGTACCCAACACGAATTCTGTTTGCCTTGTTGTGACATAAACCAAAATTAACAGAAGCTTTAAAGAGCTAATTTCTTGGGGCGCCTCGGTGGCTCAGTTCGTTAGGCATCTGACTCTTGATTTGGGCTCAGGTCATGATCCCAGGGACATGGGATCGAGTCCCACATTGGCTCTGTGCCGACAGCGTGGAGCCTGCTTGGGTTTCTCTCTCTCTCCCTCTTTCTCACGCACACATGCTCTCTCTCTCTCTCAAAATAAATAAACTTTTTAAAGAAGGCTAATTTCGCTCCACGGCTGACAGGAAGCTGAGTCCTGCCACTGTTCGTGGCAGATTCCTCCATCAAGGTGCTCTCAAGTGTGAAGAAGGCTGCCAAAGCCCCGGTCGTCAGGCCTGTGTTTCAGGAAAGCAGCAGGAAGGAACCGCAAAGGGCCCACCGCACATCTCCCATTGGATGATGGTCATTATCTAGAATGTGCCCTCCACGTGTTTCCCTGGGCTCCCACTCTCACCCAGAAGTGCATAAGCGCATGCACACACACGTACGCACGGCATCCTGGATTCCTGGTCCTGTAAATGAGGTATTCTGCACGTGTCTGCCTCTTTCCTTCCCCACTGGCCACGCCCCATCGAAACCCCTTCAGGATAACAGCTAACTCTCACGTCGTTCTCCTCACGGCTGCACCCACCCCCAGATGTCGGCCGCAATCGTTAACGTGCCCCCACTGGTGGGCGTTCGCTAATTCTAGTATTCTACCAGGACACCGTGCGGCCGTCCTGACATGGGGAAGTCAACGGGGAGGCTGGGTTTCATTTTCACAGCTATTGCCAGACTGATTTCCAAAGAAGCCAAAACACTTCATATTTTACCAGCGCTGCGAGTACTTTTTCCTTCCACCTCCCCACCAACAACAAATGCTACAACTCTTCTGAAAATCTTGCCAGCTGGTCTGTGGGTCTAGAGCTCATGGATTTCTCTTTCCCTACCCACTGACAAATCTGGGCATTTCCATGTTTCTTGGCCATTAGGATTTGCTCTTCTATGGACATTCAGTTCAGATAATTACTGTTTTTCCGTTTGATCGGCACTCTTTGACAATTTCTTTAAAGGTTTCTTTATAATATATATTAACTCTTTGTCATCTACATCACAAATATTTTTACAGTCTATCCATCGATTGCCAATGTTATAGTATTTTTGCCATACGAAGTTTTTTTATGCTTATACATTGATACTTTCTTGAATAGCTTCTGGTCTTGCAATCTGGTAGTTACTGAGGGTTCCCCCTCGGGGTGCCTGGGTGGCTCAGCTGGTTGAGTGTCCAACTCTTGACTTCAACTCAGGTCATGATCCCAAATCGTGGTATTGAGCCCTATATCCAGCTCCATGCTGAGCATGAAGCCTGCTGGAGGTTCTGTCTCTCTCTCTTTCTGTCTGCCCTTCTCCCCTGCAATCAATCAATCAATCAATCAATCAATAAAAGAGGGTTCTCCTACATCTATAGTGGCATTCTATTCTTGGGCATTTATTCATCCATATACATTTTAAGATTTTTTGGGGCACCTGGGTGGCTCAGTCAGTTAAGTGGCCGACTTCAGCTCAGGTCATGATCTCGCGGTCTGTGAGTTCGAGCCCCACGTCAGGCTCTGTGCTGACAGCTCAGAGCCTGGAGCCTGTTTCAGATTCTGTGTCTCCCTCTCTCTCTGACCCTCCCCCGTTCATGCTCTCTCTCTGTCTCAAAAATAAATAAATGTTAAAAAAAAAATTTAAATTTTAAGATTTTTTTATCCAATTCCAAAAAGATGCCTCCTTGGGATTCTAACTAGAATTGTATTACATTCGCATATTAACTTGATTTTTTTATGGTGTAAAATCTTCCTAAACATGCCTTTCCATAGGTTCAGATTTCCATATGATCTGTTTTCCTCATGTGGGTCCTACACCTTTATTCTGAAATGTATTTTTTTCTTCACCATATATATGAAATGTTTGATGGGTTCTTATTGCCAGAGCGGAGAAAGCCAATGACTTCTGTATTTCAGCTTGTATCCAGAAACCTTACCCAGGCTCACTGTGCCTGTTTGTAGAAATAACGCGGTTTATGCCGAACTGGGAGTCTGGAGCATTGGCACGTGCTAGGCAGAGGGCGCCTACGTGAGCCGCGGGGCACAGAGGCTCTGATGAGCTTCCTGGCAGACGCCACTTCACAGATGCTGTGACAACCCAAACACACTCGCTGTGGCTTCAGCGGGAGACGCCTCCTGGAAGTTTGCACCGTTTTTCTCTGCACTTCGCCCCACGTGCCCTTTGCCCGTGATTTTACTTTGTGCCCTTTCGCTGTGCTAACTGTGGGCTGTGAGGACAACTCGACAGTGCGTCCTGTGAGTCATTCTAGTGAATGACCAGAACTGGAGGTGGTCTGAGGGACCCCCCACACATCCTATCAGCAAAAAGAGCTTTACCGCTTGTCTAGTGTTGTATCACTTCCTTTCTCTTTCCGGAGTCTTGTTGTATTTGCTAGAACCTTCAAGTC